CAACACTTGCTCAGTGACCATGAAACAAAATTTTCAAGTAGTACTTCAAGGTCACTATGATTGCAGAAAAAGTATGACAGAAAAGAAAAAGTATGAAAACGAGTAATTCACTGATAGCCGTTACTAGTGCGATTTTCATGACAATTTGAAAGAATCACTAGAATTTGAGGTTAAAGAAATATAATCAGTGGGCCAATTTCCTTAAAACACAATCCAAACCGAAACGGATTCGAAATTCTGCCACCATGATAAATGACTTGAATCTTAAAGTTGAAAGTCAGCACACTTATAAGTTTTATAACTTTTAAGTTAATAAAATTCTATTTCGTATGCTTCTCCAAGCGAGTGTTTTCACACGTAAAACGAAGTTGCGGATTCTAGATTCTTAATAGATTTTAGTTCTTGTTAGGAATTCAAAAATATTCATCATAGCAAAGGTTCATGAGTAACGGGGATGAGAACAAAACGCATAATTCCTTATGTAGTATAACTTCTTATGAAGGTAATTTTCTCGCGAAAGTACCGACTTGTTCCCATGTGATAGACGGCACCATTTTCATTCTAGCCAAGTTATTCAAATCTCAAGACATGGGTGGCAGAGAGCTCCCTTTTTCCAATTCACCCATCTCTCAAGAAAGAGAAAGTTTGTACCAACACTAGTAACCGAAGTAAGAAGATAGTAACATGATGGGAGTCAGTCAGACATATTAACTCTTAAAACTGCTCCCTGTGCAGGAGTGAGCTGATGAAAGAAAAGGGAAAATCGGAAGAAAGTGATGAAAAGCAATGAAGTGGTGGATAAAAGAGTGAGCAACTAAAGCTAACTTGCTTCCGATGTAAATTACACAGTTCAAAACAAAATATAGATCTTGATTCTTGAAGTGAAATACATAGTGATCAACTTACGTGTCACTAACGTAAACAAAGGACAATGCTTGCGACACCATTTGCACCAAAAATGGGTCAGATGTATCCAGAAGACTTCATGGTTGTCGCATCACAAACAGAAGGCAGCTTTGACTTATTCATGTTTTCACTCGCGAATGGCACGGTTTTCACATCTGAACCATTTGCGATGAAGTTGTACATGAGCAAAAAAGAGATGCAACAATAATTATGACCCACACGATGTATAAAAATGAATTGCGACGAGAGTTTAGGCCTGTCCAGCTTGAACTTGCTTCTCACGTTCTCTTATCACATTCAGAGCCTTAATGAAAATCAATCTCGGGACGCTGTCGTTTTGAACAAACTGCGTAACTGCTTAGAAAAAGTCGAGCTCAAGAATGAGAATACTGCTTGCAATGCATATAAGGCTAGCGATCGAGAAAATAATGGCCACAAAAACAACTACCTGCTGGGTCTCTCGTTCCTTTCGGGATGATCTGGACAACGAACAAAAATGTCGAGCAGGTCAAGGAAAGCCACCACTATGCTCCTACAAAAAAAGAGATTGCTTTGAAGAAGTGGAATTCATCCATGAAGATTGTTTGCCTATAGGAATTATGTCAAATCACATTCTTTCAGAATGGCGGAACACGCAGGCAGCTCTGGATACTCTATCCCTCATAACTCCACAACATAAAATACGTTGGAAAATTACAAATTAATAGTTTAAAAAGCTGCTACATTTTTAAAGATATGCCGCGTAGTCGTCTCCCGTGTCACACCATTAACTACTGATTTTGAATTTCAATAACACTTTTTGGGTCCAGCTGATTCGAAAATAATACACTTTCTTGAATAGCGCGCACAAGATCAAAGCCAAATGCGAAGAATTCCGCTCAGTTCAACCAACTAATCTACTGTGAGCCAACTGTTTGTTTTCAGACTCGTTGAGCCGATGTCAGACTTTGCGAATCCAGCGATTCCCTAGCAAATCGCTGGATTTGCAAAGTCTGACATCGGCCTGGGAGGTGACCACTGAACTGCACATCGACTGGTCCCGAAGCCACTGTACACATCACTTCGCAATCAATATGTCAGCATAATTCAATTAGAGGTCGAATGTAGGAGCCCAATGCCCACATTTTTTCTTCCATGGCATGCTTCTACATATGCTTGACCCTCTTAATTGATCCCGCAAAGCTGCTATAGATAGGATTCGACCCCCATAGGATGTGTGCAAGACGAGCATTGCGCGTCCATCTATAGAAATGGAAACAACAACAAGACTACCAACCTATTGAGCTTCTTCATCTCCGTCTTCCAGTCGACTTAGCAGGATACAGCTGCTTGGTATTCTGTGAATGACCTGAAAGCAGAGTCAACCCTGCGTTGCGCAGTTCGCAACGGCACGTTGAGAGATCCTCAACGCACGCTGTATGGGCGGAGACGCACAGACGGCTCGAGCATGCGAGTGTGAATGTTCGCGCGAGAGAACGTGTCTAATCGGGCGAAACTGCGCAACGTGGCCGTTGAAAACTGCGCAACGCAGGGTTGACTCTGCTCTGAAGTAATGTGATATAGGTGTAAGCATTCACTTTATGAAAGCCAAGATCAAATACAGAAATATTGCCCATTTTTGTGAAGCATCGTAGAAGACGCGTGTGGGTACTTAGGACCGAAAGCGACATTTTCGATGTGATTTGGCAATGCGATTTGCGCGAAATCTGCGCGACGATCGCAAATATTGCAAGTACCCATTTGAAATTTGCTTGACCAACGGCTTGAGTATGACAAGTGGAATCTACATGAGGCAGGTCGATCATTCGCTTCGAACATCCAACGAAGTGCGGCCGAGGATTGCGAAATCACCTTCGCAAATTATGACTTACAGGGCACTTTGCGATGTGGGTCTTCGCGCACCGTCTGCAGTGAAATGCGCGTGTGAATCCGCGTAAACGCGCCAAAATCACCAAAATCACGAAAAGCAGCGCAACCTGCGATAGAACGCGGAAATAGCAGGTGTCCTCGTAGTATTTGTTACCAAATTTGTCTTCTCCAACAGGAGTCCCTGCGCGTGTGGCATCCCATTGTGCAATGAGAGAAGATCAAAGAATTTTGTAGTAAGGGCTGATAAAAACCTGCTAACTTTACAAATGGAAAGCATAAACATGACATGTTTAACACATTTCATTACTCAGAAAAAAAGATCATTGGGAATGAAGATGGCAACTCACAAATATCTCTTCTTCAGAACAGCAAGAACTCCTCCAGTTTGTTTCATAATTTTAGCTAACTTCTGCATTTCGTCGATACCCAACCATTCCTTCACGGCTCACATCTTAGCATGCAAAGAATGACATTTAATATTTCGCAAATGAATCAGAGAATATTTAAGAAGATGTCAAATATGTGGACAGTGAATCGACCGAATTATGAAAACAGCCAAATAGCAAATATCAAGAGATTTATTATTAAAGTCGTTGTGTTGACAATTTCGAGCAATCACACAAGCAGCCATTTAATGTGCAACTAAAAAATTACTTCCACATCGAGAAACCAATTGCAATTATAATCATTATTACAGAAGAATGTCCTACTAAAAACAATAAAAGTGAAAGTAGGTGAAACTCTTAGATGGTCCATCGAGTAATGAAGAAGGCGAGATAGAACACGCATCCCCGTATACGAGTTCCACGCATCCCCGTATACGAGTTCAAGAACACAGCTTAACCACAACAACGGCGTTAAGAAGCCCAGCTTCTTTTAGGTCAATAAACTCGTCATCGATAACCTTAAAAACAGCAAAAATGAAAGAAAATGCAAGAATGAGCCCAAATGAAGAAGATCGAGCCCCAGCTGATGATTATCACCCTACGACCCACCAATGGACACGCGGGTCCCGCCCTATGCCAGCAATGCACCACATCCCGAGGTGGGCGGTCGTAGCGGGGCCAGGCGGCGATAGCGCATAGTACATGCCCTGGGGCCTTATTACGCGCCGTTCGATTTTGAGCGTGGGAACATCTCTACGGGTGCGTAACCAAGTACAGGCATGACCGAAAGGGTTGGTTTGGTCAACTAATCCCGACCTTTGCCTTTAACACTCAGCCGGTGCGATGCGAACACAGCACTTCTTCCCACTCCGACATCTCACCTTGAAGTTCTTCTTTGCTGCCCGCTATTAGAGCAATGTCGCCAGCGTAGAGGATGGTCTTTAGTTACCCTTCTCGAGCCCCTTCACCATGACATCTAGTGTTAGGAGGAAGAGGAACGGACTCAGAGCTGACCCTTGATGCACCCCAACCGTGATGTTTACCTCCTTTTGTTAGGCCATGTGGGGTGCGTATGGC